ATAAAACTGTAACTCCACATTCAGATCACTCACGAAGCAGGTCATGTGAATGCTCCTTCAGTCTTACTCATCTTTGAGCTTTCCCAAATCATCATGCCACTGTAAAAACTCCTGGTGTACTTGCAACTTAAATAGTTGCTGCAGGCCTCATTACGATCTTGATGAAAATCACATTGTTTACTTTGAATACCTACAGAGACCAGGATGGCCAGGAGGAACAGGGCAATTAGTTGGTCCTCCAACACAGACAAACATAGAGAAGGCACTAAGAGAGAGAGAATTTGGAAAAGAGATACCAGATGTGAGAGAGGTCTATAAAATTATTAATACAGAAGTTGAAAAACAAATGTTTTTCTTTTATTTTCTCGTCACATAAGGATAAGAAAAAAAATATAAAATTGATTTAAAGCACAAGGTTCAAACACAGCAAAAAATGTTTTCATTCAAAACAACATTAATTTACAACATTGACTGTCAGGAAAATTAACAGATACTAAAAATATAAATAAGTTCATAAAAGGAGGGCATGAACTAATAGGTGACATATAACTGTTGCCAATTATATATGAACTTAATTTACAGGATGCATCTTAAGTCTTATAAAGTTGCCTAACAGTTGCTTGTCCAAAGCTGACAGGCATACTCAGTAAAGCTGCCCTTCATAGTTTTTTTATATTCTTTCCTTAAGAATCTGCTTTTAAGTCACTGTCAAAGAAAGAATATTAAGTCAGTTACACTTTTGATTTGATCAACTCCGACTATTCAATGCGGAACAATTGGCAAAGATGAATTGTCCTTGTGACTGAGAAAGAGCATGAAAAAACGCCAGAAAATATTAGATTTAGACTGTGGTTCCAACTGTCCTGTTTCCCTAATTTAAGCAAGTTAGAAAACGGCAATTCTAATAGAGAAGATGCTATGAACATGTAATTTGGAAAAAAAAAAAAAAAAGCCTGAAAACATAATTTAGAAAAGATACTGTGATGAAGATGGCCTTTTCAGTCATGAAGTATCACAGTAAGATTAAACAGAAAGGATCACTGTGGTGCACATGGTAACAAGGCCGTAGAAATAAACAGTGCATATGTCCTAGTAAACTTATTTTAGTTAACATATATTCTATCTAGTTAACTAATATATACATTAGTTAATTAAAAAAAAAAAGTAGACAACGACAGTCTAATGTATGTGATGTTGCCCAAATTGAGATCTTACCTTACCTGCTGTTCACCTGTTCACTTTTTTTTCTGACATGCTGGTGTTCTGAGAAGCATAATCATTCCCAAGGACTTAGAACTAAATTTAATTCCTTTATTAAAATGAGTTAACTCAGTTTGCTGAACTCTCCCATGCAAACTTTATTTGTGAATAATTAATGAAGCAACTTATGTTAACAAAATAACCTACTGCATACATTCCAAAAAAAAAAAATCAAGTAAAGGATCTTACAAAAGCACAGATACACATATGAACATTATAGAGACAGAAAATAGAAGGATTAATTTAGTAAATTCCTTTAAATACTTTTGTACTGTACTGAAATAACTAGACAAGTAGGAAAACAGAAGCTGCCCACAAATATTTGAAGGCAGAGAAATGTTTAAAAATCATGACAGAAAGAGAGTAGAAAAAGTGGAATGTAGAATTAAGAAGCAAAATTAGTAGAGAGAATAGTAGTAAGAGCTTTCTAAATCTAAGACATATCAGTCTTTACCAAGGTTCATGTGGTAAGCAGAGCAAGCCATCCAACCAGCCAGCGACAGTTCGATTAGACTGAAGAAAACAGTAAGAAAATTTGAAATCGTTCTGTTCTTTCAGGGACTGGAGAAGGACACTTAATATATCCATAACGTTTTCTTCTCATACTTGAAGAGCTTCCCCCACTTCACAATATGCTTTCTGAGATGTGCAGTGAATTCCTCTCAACTCTGATACTGCAGATTACATCAAGTCCAGAGATGTAGTAAAATAAACCATGGGAACTCAATTCATGTCTAAGCAAATCTCAGAGAATCATCAAAAAGCTCCCACATTAAACTTGTAGCCTTTCTTCAAGTCAGTTCTATAACTGGGGAAAAGCCCTAGGAAATTCAAAATCAAAACACTCAACAAATTTGCGCTAAGAAAAACAACCCTGAAACCACATCACTTCAGTGTAGACTTGCACCAAATATTTCTGCTGCTGAAATTCTTCCAGAATTTGAGTAGTACTGCAAAGACTTGTGTTCTCTGAATTAAGTTTATGCGGCCAATGCAGCAACCTTGTATATGAAAGTACTCCCTGCAAAATACTACACAGATGCAAAAGTCTTTGCTAGATCAGAGCTTCAGCAGTTAACCCAATGCAGTTTATGCACATCAGAACTCCTCAAAGTGAGGCATTTCTCCATATCTTCATAATAATGAGGAAAAGGAAGTTCACAGCAAAATGGGCCATTGCTTATTTAACTGACTGACCCGCAGGTAGCTACTGTGGTACTCGCACAACCAAGAGTACAACAAGTTTCCAAAGCCCCAAGATACTGGGTAGTGCCAGCAGTCTGGTCGCGTCTTCTCAGAACATGTATGTGCTTGTGTTGCTCCAGTAACAAGGTTAGAGCCTTACAGCCTCATTTCCTGATTATGCAGAAAAAGAAAAAGGAAGTGATTTTGGAACCACATATGGAAAAACAGCACAAACCATGTTATTTGAGAGCATGGCTGAACCTTAATGTTTTCCCAAACATCAAGAGAAGCTAGTCTCTGTGAAATTTAAAGAGACTGATCATTAGGGATCTTCTTTTAAACATTCAATTGGGTTCTACCAATACAAAATGATACTGTATCTGAAAACACATACTGCGTGGAGCAGCAGGGAACAAAAGCAGTCTGAACGCAGGATCAAATGGTGACAAACGGAACATTTATTAAAAACTTACTGAGCAAGTAAGAATTTCTAGTTTGTTACTGCTTTTTCAAACTCCAACCAAAGAACAGATTGATTTATTTATTTTCCAACAATTCTGCCCTAATTCCAGCCTGTGCCCATAATTCCATATACAAACTTCTTCAAACTCTATAATCCTGATGCTATCGTCCTTCTGTTGGAAAAAAAAAAACTCCCATACTCAAACCCTAAAAGAGAGAGGAAAAGAGGAAAGAAGCAAATGAAGAACCAAGGAGCAGCCCTGAGCGTAAGGACAAAATGTAAGAGAAAAATGAACTCTTTTACTGGGCCTTCCTACTCCTGCTGAGTTACCAATGCCGACCACCATGAGGTTTTGGACTACAGTTTTTACAGTGACACTTCCATTACACCACACTGAAAATATTTGATAAGCACGGCTCCCAATAAAAGTTAGATAAAGATCGTATGTTTCATCAGAATAAACCAGAAAGACCTATTGTTAACGGTCTCCCTTGATCAACATATGGATTTGAAGGCAAAAACTGAATGCAGAGAAATGATCATGAGAAATGATAGTCCTCACAGTAAGCCCTCAAAAATACTCTTACTCATATGTGCACTTACCCCTAACCTCTGCTGAACTGAGTAGGGAATGCCTTGCCCATCCAAGCATCTGAGAATCTGCTTCTAATAAAATGCTCAATCTTTGCTTGCTCAGTTTTATTCTGACACTTTCTGAAGTGGTTGTCTTGTTTGTGCTCAAGTGTAACTGAAATACTAAACCACCATCTTTCAATCATTTTACAGGGCATGGGCTAAATAATTAGCAAGCGGTTAGAAGAGTAGCTCCAATGTCTCCGCATTTTGAAGTGTACCTACAGGCAGTCCTACATAAATCAGTTCTGAACAATAAAATATCCTCTCCTGGTTTCATCATCGCACCCAGCAGTACTTTTTTTTTACAGAAAAGCATCAAAGACTGATCTCCCTGGTTAACTCATTTTCTGAATGAAAAAAAAAAGTGAAAAAAATCACTTAAAATCAACAACTAAATAAAATACATTCTTGCCCCTTTCCTCCCAACTCCTCCCTGGTGAAGTCCAAGAAAAGGTCACCTTACGTAAAGCAACAGATTTTTACAACTACTTGCCTATACTGCTCCGGTTCAGCCGAC